GAAAAGGCCTCATCAAGATGTCAAAACAAAACAACGCCACTCAGTTGGTTTCGTTCATATAAACGTTGGTTCTTTCAACAAAAGCAACCAGAGCAGGACTTGAATCGTAACATAGCAGTCATATCACATTCTCTGGTGGGATTGCCGATGAAGTTGTATTTGCTATAGCAGCAATCGACGAATTTACCTATTTTTCTAGAAGTTGTTTGACCTTGTTTTCGCAACTTGGTCATATTCGTATGTGCGTTCCTCTAAGTCTTCCTATCAATATGACCGAGTTGCAAAAACAAGGTCAAACAACTTCTATACAATGAAAGAAGACTGCGACCACACAAAAGGCCACACCATCTTGGTCTTCATACCTTCGATTACCTATTTTTCGTTTATAAGCAGGTTTTTGCGATACGTAAGGTCTACTCATATGATTGTGGGGAAAATTCAACTATTAGTCCCTTTGATCAAGGGGATTGTCTTCACTTGCCACTTTGATAAGTTGTAACTGCAAGCGATGGGAACTCTCACTGACAATGCCTACTATGATGCCGGCGAAACGTTTGGGAATGTACTAAGTCAATGGTCTGATGCTGGAACTCACGAATACTATAGCAGATCACACATGACTAGGTACGTTCCACAAGGTTTCCCTGACGCTCCGATTAAGTCGAGAAAGCGAGGTCGAACCAACATTATACAGCTAAAGGAGACAGCGACCAAACAGAAGGCCACATCATCTTGGTCTTCATATCTACTATTTATTAGTCTTCTTATCACCTTAAACGAAAAAGGGTGAGTTAGGACTGAAAATCACAAAAAGCACGAAAAATTGTCAGCGCATATGAAATGGGAGTGAGCAATGGGAGAATTACTTTGCGTCCAAGACTTTGTTCACAATCTGTGAAATCTCACTGCGGTACTGTTGCGCCTCTCCTTCTGGCAGGCTGTCCATGCTCTCAACTGAGGCCCTGCGCTGCACCTGCGAGTCTTGAGGCAACTCGTCCGCATACATCGGCTTGTCGCCATCGTCGCCATACTCACTGGCGGATGAAGAGTTGCCCTCGGCATCCTCGTTGTCACTGCCGGCCTTTCGCCGACGTCGGTCACTGCTGCCTCGTCTGTTGCCGGCAGCCCCCGAGCCGCCTGTGCTCGGCATCCCGAAATTCGCCAGCCCCGAGGGCAGGTTGTCAGGCAGCTTGATGGAGCCAAGTTTGGTCGAGAGGTCGGACATAAGGCCGTTTTTCTTGGCCTGCACACTGTCCAGAAACCGGGTGGTGGTACCGGAGAAGAAGCCGCCAGGTCCACCGCCGCCACCCTCGGGAGAAGCCGTGTCCGTCAGTTTACTGGTGCGCGGACCCGTTTCATCCTCACCCCCCACAATGCCTTTGAAGAGGCCGCGTATACTCATTACAGGCTAAATTCCGGATCAGCTGATCTTAGGAAAAGTGAACAGTGGAAAAGGGAACACACGAGCATGTTAGCCAGACGAAGAGTCGACGCCGGTCTGTCTCAACGTCGTGGACGGACATAGCCTCGGGCCAGTGGTATTGAGTTCGAGAGGCGAATAGAGGTGAAATCCTCAACAGCGCCGTAGAAGCCTCAATTTCAGGGCCCTTTAGCGAACTACAGTGACCCCAGTCCTTGAAAGAGGCAGATGCAATCCTGATAAGGACAAAAACGAGATTACGGAAGGCATTGTCCAAGACTATTAGGACAGATTAATGCCTTAACTAAAAAAATAATGGCTGATTAATTAAATTAAAGGGTTTCTCAACAGTTAAGTACTAACTTTTGGGCTCTTTGTGGCCTTCCGTTTAAACTTCTACCAAACAGAAATTTTCTGAAATATCATTGTTACTTGTAGATACGAAGAGTAACCGAGTTTAGATAAATCTCCTGGGATAAAATTGTTGAAGAGACTTTCATTTCATATGAGAGTGAATGAAAAAGAGATTTGAAGGTCGATCTCACCAGAAGACGACGGCTGATTCCCGTTGTGATGTAGCCGTTTGGCTTTAATAGGATGTCCAGGTTGACGCAGTCTACGAGACATTTACCCACTAAAAACAGTGTTCAAAGAAACCCTTTGATTTTCTTCGGTTAGGTCATTGCTTAGAAAGAACCGACTGCTACAAGATTGTGGTCGACCTTATGTTGATGAGACATGCCGGCCTATTGGACAAAGAGTAGGGGGTCACAAAAATGACTAACAAGGAAACTGGGCCCAACGGTCAGAAGTGGCCGAACACATGGCAGAGACCGGACACGAGATAGAATAATCTCAAACGAGTAGGTCTGCTGTTATAGGGACGAAAAGAGAGGCTAATGGAATTGATGAATTAGAGAAAACGTTGAATTTGAGGAATAGTATTAGAATGTTGAGTAAAAACTACTTATAGAAGTTGTTTGACTTTGTTTTCGCAACTTGGTCATAATGGTAGGAAGACTGATAGAAACGCACCTT